ATATACTATAGTAGAAGCTTAAGAGCTTCTTAGTTAGTATAAAGTTATTCTATATAGTTAGCTACTATAATATTCTTAATAGCTAGCTTTATATTAAGCCTTATAGTTATAAAACTAATTAGTAGAAATCTAAAAAAGGCCTCTACTAATATTATTTATATTACTAAATACTAAGTGTTATTATATATAAATTATATAAGGTGAAGTTATTATACTTAATCTAATTAGTTCTATATATAGAAGTATTATAAGTACTACTCTAAGTATTAGTTCTACTATTCTATTTAGCTATTTATTTAGAAGTAGAAAGCTATACTTAGCTACCTCTTAATAGCTAAGAAGTAGTAGAAGTATATCTAGAATTTATTAGTAAAGAGTAATCCCTTATTAGAGATAATACCCTTAAGGATACTAAATATCTTAAAGATCTTAGTGAATAATAGATTAATAAAGCTCTAAATAGTAAGTATTAAGTATATAGCGATATATATACTATATTTAATAAGCTAATTAACTACTATTAAAATAGTATTATAAGATCTATAGCCTAAGAACGTTATTAATATAGGTAATCTAATAATAAAGTTAAGGGAGATCTCTTATTAAAGCTATTATAATATAGGTAGGAGCTATAGTAACTTATAAAAGTAATAGTAATAGGGCTTTATTCTCTAATATACTATATAAATATTAATATAAGCTTTAATATCCTTACTTATTAAGTCCTAATAGTAATATCTCTTAAGTAGTATTAATATCTACTTAACGCTATAATACCCTACTATTAATATATTATAGCACTCCTTAATAACCTCTTAATAGATATTATAATATATAGGAATATATATATAATTACTAAAACATAGTAACCCTTATATATTATATCCCTAGCTTCTCTATTAATAACCTCTAGCTTATTATAAGTATTAATACCTCTTAGCTTACTAGTATTCCTTAATAAAAGTATCCTTTTATTAAGCTATTAATAACTAGCTTATTATTAATATCTAACCCTCTTTAATAGCTATTTTAGGCGCTATATCTTTAATATAGTCCTATAGAATAAATAGCTTATAATCTATAGTTCTAATAGTAAGCTTAAGTATCTCCCTAAATATTATATTACTACTTTAATACCTTAAGCTTATAGCTTTATTATACCTCTTAAATAGCTTTTTAAAGCTTATATCTTAAGCTAAAGCTCCTACCCTCCTTTATTTACTTTACTACTATAGTAACTATATAACCTTAACTTTAATACTACTCCTATAGTAATATTTTATAGATATTACTACTATAATAAGTAGCTCCTATATAGCTTTTATGCTTAATAACTATATTCTTATATCCTTAAGTAATTCCTAAGCTTCTCCCTTAGAGTATATAAAGCTATAGTTAGGTCTCTATAAAAGCCTATCTATTAAATTCTTTACTCTTAATTTAAACCTAATATTAATATTAAAAGCTACTAACTTATTAAGCTAGTATAGCTACCTACTATTTAGTTTCTTTTTTATATTAAGAAACTATAAGTTAAAGTAATTTATAAATACTATAATATAGTTCTTACTATATATTAAATAATACTATTAGTTCTTTAGAGCGTTTATAATAATAAGAAGTTTTATATCTCTTATTCTATAATAGCTCTCTATATCTATTAACTTCTAAGATTTAAATATAATAAGGTATTAATAGCTTTTAAATAGCTAAGTAATTACTACTTTAATCGCTTATATAGAAGTATTAGTTTATAGCTTTATTAGTAGTATAAGATTGAAATATTATAGTATAAGCACTTTAGTAAATACCTTAAGGAGTATCTTAAACGCTATAATAGCACTTAATAGTAAATTAATTTCCTTTAGCTTTACTTTTTAAAATAGGTCTATTAATAGCATAATAATCTTAGCGTAGTTTAATATAAACTATTTATAGAACCTAATAAAGCCTAAGAACGTTTAGATATCCTTAACACTATATAGTAGTAGCTAATTTACTATAGCTTTAGTATATATTAACTCTATTTTAACCCCTTTATTTAATATAATATATCTTAGGAAGCCTATATATAAAGTATAAAACTCACACTTATTGCTATTTAAATATAAGTTCTACTAATAAAGCTATTTAAGCATACTATATATATATTCCTTATACGCTTTATAACTACTACTATATATTAAGATATTATCTAAGTATATAATATATATAGTATTTATTAAGCTACTTAGAATATTATTAATATATATTTAAAAGGTAGCTAGTATATTAGTTAAGCTAAATAGGATAACTAAGTACTTAAACTAGCTATACTTTATATAGAAGGTAGTTTTCTACTTATCGCCCTTAGTAATATATATCTAATAATAAGTATTCTTAAGATTAAGTTTAGTAAAGACTAATATATTAAATAAGTAGTCTAAAATCTCTCTAATTAGTAATAGCAGTATTCTATCTTTATATATAATCTTATTTATTACTTTATAGTTAATATAAAGCTATAGCTCTCCACCCTTCTTAAGAATAAATAAAATAAATACTCCTATTAAGTTAGTTAATAGGTATATCTAACTTCTTACTTCTACTTTTATTAAGTAATCCTATAAGATCTTAAGCTTATAGTTTAATAATAAATAGATAGAGCTTTAAAGAATAAGAGTAGTATTATTAAGCTTAATATAATAGTTATAAGCTACTCTCTTAGAGAGTAAAATAGCTTTTTCTTCTAAAAATAGATTATTAAAGTTATTATAGTATACCTACTAGTCCTCTATATTACTTAATAGTACTAAAGGTGTGTTAATAGCTAGAGTAATAGTAATATAGGCTATTATAGTATATTATAAGCTATTTAGTAGCCCCTTCTTAAGGGCGTCTAAGTAGATATAGTACTTATAGATTAAATAGTACTACTACTATTATTACTAGCTAATAAGAAGGTTAATATCTTCTAACTATAAGATACTTAAGATTAGTGTAAGTATTAATAGATCTATTATAATAAAGTAGTATAGCTATATCTCTATAATATTATTACTATTAGAGATTCTTAGTTAAAAGTAGTAAGTTTTAAGTGTTTAGATCTCTTAGTTATCTATATCTACTAGCTAAGAAGCTAAGTAGATATATAGATTAGTTTTAAATATATTAAGTAAGCTATAGCTAATAATATTCCCCCCTAATCTTAAGTTAATAAGTACTTTTAGCTTTACTTAGTTACTATTAAGTTATACTTAGGTTAAGATATCTAAGTAGCACCCTTACTACTATAAATCTATAGTATAAATAAATATAATATTAAAGTTTATTACTAAGTTTAGCTACTCTAGAGTTATACTATTTATAAAGTAATTAGCTATTTTATAGCTTTTTTAGCTATACTTTCTATATACTATATTTAGATATATATTAGCTAAATAGCCTATCTTACTATAGTTATAGTACTACTAAAGCTATACTTTTAGGTATAGGCAGTTTCTTACTATATAGTTAGATTTATAATAGTTATAATAGATAGTATCTTTAAGAGGGGACTTATACTATTAGAGGGGTATAATAGCATTATTAGCTAGCTACTACCTAGTTAGTAAGGTATCTCTTAGTAAGCTATTTAGAGGGGAAGCCTACTAGTTAAAGAATATTAATAAAAACTACTTAATATGCTACACTAAGGAGATAAGCTTATTATAGGTATATAGAAGTATTATTTATAAGGTTATAATATAGTATAGTTATAGCTATAGCTTATTAAGTAGTATTAAAATATACTACTTCTCTATTAAGTAGTAGTCTAATTTAAGCTTTAAGTTATTAATATAACTTATAAATTTATTAACCTACTCCTTAAGTTTTTAAGAGGTATTATCTAGATATATACTAGTAGCTATACTATAGCTTATAAAGTTAGATAAATTATTATATAAAAAGGTCTTAAGCTATAAAAAGGTAATCTAGCTTATATAGAAGCTTAGCTCCTTTTAGAGGTTATAGATATAATATATTTATAAAGTCTTAAGATAGCTATAAATATAGCTTACTATATATACTACCTTATTACTATTAATATATATCTAGTATACCTATAAACTAAATTAGTAGCTATAATTAAATAAAAAGCTCTATAGATCCCTTATTAACCCTCCTAAATATAATAAAATAGGTAGTAAAACTTATTAAAAAATAGTATTAAGGCCTTAAAGCTGAGGTTTAATAAGTATAAAGCTAATAGCTTATAGCTTATTTATAAAGTAAAGTTAGCTTTATTCTTATAACTTAGAAGCTTTAGATTTAATAAAATTAAATAAAATAGTTTTATAGTTAAGAACTAAAGCCTTAGTAATATTAAGCATAATATTAGATTAAGTTAAGGTAAGCCTATTATAGCTTAATCTAAATATTAAGCTAATTAAAGTACTCTAGAGGCGCTCTAACTTAATATACCTCTTATATAAGCGTTCTTTATATATAGTAATAAAGATCTCCTCTTTAAATATATACTCTTCTTTATATAATTTAGATAATTAATTACTAGTAGTATAATTTAGCTATTTATAAGTTTAAGTATACTTAGCTAATAGGGGTTTACTATATTACCCCTACTTAAGGGGAGTAATATCCTCTTATTCTTATTATATCCTCTTTAGAGTTAACTAGTTACTCACCTTCTATTATAGAGGTAGTAAATCTTATTATTTTTACTTATCCTAAATACTTAGAGTAGTTAATAGTAGTAATATTTTATTACTAAGTTATTATATAAATTATACTCTTTTAGTATATTATATTTAAGCTAGTATTTTAAACTTCTAGCTTAATCCCCTTTATAAATAGAGATTTTAAACTATTAATTAGGTATATAATATAAAGTAAAGGCTTATAGAAGCTAACTATAATTAGGGGTTAAAAAATAGATTACTAAAATCTACCTCCCTATATAATATATATAACCTGCTCCCTATATATAACCTTACTACTCCTTTGTTACTTCCTCCCTACGCCTAACTAGTTCTAGTGATCCTGACAGCTGTGGTGTTCCCAAGATAGAGGAATCCCAGCAGGAGCTGCATGATTGTAACCACAGCTATCGCCCTCACTGGGACCTGAAGGTCCTTGTGGACATGGCTGAAGTAGGCATTGAAGGGCACTGCTTTATCGCGAGCGAAAGCCCACAGAGTGCGAGAAGCAGACGTGATACAGCCCACTGTTGCTGCAATGGCTACCGTGATCAAGGTAAGCGACATAACAGTTGCTCCGGCCCTTGACTTCGTGGCATCGAGATATATCTGCATGAAGGGAAACCCCGTCGGGGTTGCCAAAAGCGTTTCGAGAGATCCCGTAGAGAAGAGGAGAACAACGACATATACGAGACCCATGAGGCCGTTGGCGACAACACTGCCTACCATGGCGATTAGGACGTTCCAAGTGGCGTTGGGGATCTCTTCTGCGATGTGACAGGCTGCATCATATCTATCAAAATACTTTCGTTAGCAATTGCGATATTAATTTGCAGTAAATTTTCACATGGTGTTTCGAAAAGGATGGACTTACCCAAGAAATGGATACACCGCACTGATGAGCCCTACAAGCCATGATACCCCATCATTGATCCATCCACTGCTGTTGACGAACTCAGTGAAGACAAATGATGAAGTATTCTTCGGAGCCATGACTCCGAGCACAATGAGAATTGCAACAAATGCCACGACGTGAATAACTCCTGTTCAAAAGTCAATCAGCATACTTATCGAGCATCAGCACTTGTGGCCGTACCGGAGATCATGTTCGCGTGGGGCAACATCCTTGAGCCCCAGATGTTCAGTGCAGACGAGTAGAGAAGAACTGCCCAGTAAAACAGCATCCCCTGCCAGCGTTGAGGCACATATGAATCATCGTTCAATATAATCAAAGCTTGTGTTTGTAACCCTGCGGCGAATGCAGCTGATGCGCAAAATACTGTGAGGCCACCGACAGAGATCCAGCCAGTGGTGAACGCTGCAAGTGACCGAGTCTTTGGAGGACACAGAGCGGCAACCCAGTGGTATTGTCCTTGATATTACCTCGTTAGATCATTTCAAACACCTTGAGGAGCTTGAAGATATTGAGACATACCGCCTGCAGTCGGGTAAATGGATGCGATCTCACCCAACGAGGCTGCAATGCATACAGAACAGACGAAGGATAGAACACTAAAGCATGTATAAGTCTATTGCCAGGGGAAAGAAACTCGCATCTCAACTTACTAGTTGTAGAAGAGGCAAGGTGCACCTCCACTCAAAAGAGCTTGAGCGACGACAGTTGAGAGTGCTTCCCATGTTGCCATCAAGCAGAGGCAGAGTGCCCCAAGGGTCGGCAGCGAGAACTGCCTCTTGAGTTCCTGTGCATGTCCAAGCTGCGCCAGGCGATCTTCATCGGAGATAGCGTTGACGTTATCGGCCGTGGAATCGATGGCTCTTAGGGGCTCGCCCGTCTTCGTCTCGCTGACGTCCATATCAAACTTTGTGTCCATCTGCGGCTAGGAAAATCAGTTGACAATCGTACGACTTGTTTTGCTTTCCGGGAGGTATGGCGTGTTGTAGGAGGTAAAGAGTATTGTAAGTTGTGAATGTTCTATGCCCAGTAGCTAAACTTGTTTGACCGCTCCGTTGTAAGACCTGCACAACGCATGCAGCGGAATTGTTCATCAACATTCCCCCGCGTTATGCACGATACGACGTGGCGGAAATGTCATTGATAATCCTGCAATTGTGACAGGTCAATGTCAATGCTGGACCGGTGAGCCCCTGAGCATCGACGGCATTCCATACCGCACAAATCCGGCGGTTGGCATCTACGCGTGACGAGGCAGGACGTGGCCTGTGTGTGTGTGATTTCCGGGTTCCGAGATAAGGGCAGTGGCAGCAGCTCAGTGGCTTGGGCTTAGAATGAAACAGGACTGGACGTGATCAACGGCAATAACACTCGCAAAAGAGTCATGTTATCGGTGCAACTATCTATCTATCCTTGAGACCCTATGAGAGAAGTGATATGTCTGTAGTAGTGAAACGACTCTATCAAACGCAGATACAAAAAATGCCCAGATCCTCAGATGAGACCGAGTTCACAATGCTTGGCCTTCTCCACGACATGTCACATTGGTAATTCGAATTATGCCTGTGGAAGACCGAGTTCGAGATAGCACAGACCAGACATGGATCCTTCCCATGCCACTTGCTTATCGGACTTCAAAGATAAGTCTAGACCTATTTGAGACAAAATATCCGGCGGGGAAGCAAGTGACACCTATCAATGAGGCAGGCTTCATTGCTGGCACTGCCCAGTCGTCCTCGGAAACCCAATGGTTCCGCTCGGAAGAGACCCTGCAGCACCCACGGCCATCCCGACATTCCGTGCGGGGTTCATGTCGCTACCCGTCCCCACAGGGGAAAACCTGGGGTTGCAGATGCGGGGGACTTAGCGATCCCAGCAGCCGCTCAGCAGCCAGTCAGTTCCGAGAGGAACGCGTTTGGCTGACGCCGGCGGTAACTGACAGTACCGACGGGACCCGCACGGCATTGCTCTTGGTGCTGTGACGGAGCTGAGGCCCGGGTAGGGGCGGCAAGATCAGACCGGTATAGATATCACGTCTCAGTAGTAATCACCTTACCATGAATCGCAATTGGATACCGGAGTGTCTTCAGCTTGACAAAGACTGCGACTACAAGTGCCAATTCCACAGCCATGGCCATCTCCAACGCCATCCAAGCTTTCCAGCAGCGGGTCATTGACCACGCGCTGCAGTCAACCATCACGGGCATTCTTTTGATACCCCTCATCTACGTCATTGCAAATGAGTTCATCCGCTCTCAAGCGCGCATCGCCAAGTTGGACGGACCCCGAGGCCTACCCCTGATCGGCAACTTGTGGGATATTCGAGTCAACGCAGCAGAGCAATACCGCAGATGGGCGAAGAAGTTTGGATCAGTATACCAGATTCAACTTGGCAATGTTCCCGTCGTCGTTGTCAACTCTGCTTCCGCTGCGAGGGCCCTGTTTGGACAGAACGCTCAGGCTCTCAGCTCTCGTCCGGAATTCTATACTTTCCACAAGGTTAGTACACCCTCCTTTTTGCAAATCCTTAAGTGTTCCTGATGCGAGTGGCTTGACTAACATCAGTGAATAGGTTCTCTCAGATACCGCCGGAACCACCATTGGAACATCTCCCTATAGCGACTCTCTCAAGCGCCGTCGCAAAGGTGCAGCATCCGCTTTGAACCGTCCTTCCGTCGCTACCTATGTCCCCCACCTCGATGTCGAAACCAAAGACTTCATCAAGGAGCTGTATGAATACGGAAAGGCCGGTCAGGCACCCGTCGACCCCATGCCGATGATTCAGCGCCTGTCTCTCTCGCTTGCTCTTACTCTCAACTGGGGCGTGCGCATGAGCAGTCAGAAGGACGGTCTCTTTAAGGAGATCACCCACGTCGAGGAGGAAATCAGCCGCTTCCGCTCCACCACCGGCAACCTTCAAGACTACATCCCCCTTCTCCGTCTCAACCCGATCAACATGCACTCGGCCAAAGCGCGCGAGATGCGGAGCAGACGCGACGTCTATTTGACCAACCTGAACAAGGGCCTCGACGAGCGCATGGCTAACGGAACGCACAAGCCCTGCATCCAAGCCAACGTCATCATGGACCAGGATGCGAAGCTCAACAACGCGGAGCTTACCTCCATCAGTCTCACGATGCTCTCTGGTGGACTCGACACCGTCACCACTCAAGTTGCCTGGTTCGTGGCAATGCTGTCTCAGAGACCTGATATCCAGGAGAAGGCCGTCGCAGCTATTCGCGAGTTCTACAGCGAGAAGCAGCCCATGTGCGATTCTGAGGATGACCAGCAGTGCCGCTACATCGTGGCGTTGGTCCGCGAGTCTCTGAGATATTACACTGTTCTTCGCCTGGCTCTTCCCAGGGCCTCGGTCCGCGATGTGCCTTACGGCGAGGTGCTCATTCCCAAGGGATCGGTCATCTTCCTCAACGCCTGGGCGTGCAACATGGGTAAGTTTCATCTTCCTATCTAAGAAGAGACCCGAATTAGACACTAATGTTTGACAGACTCCGAAGTGTGGACTGATCCTGAAGTCTTCCGCCCCGAGAGGTGGCTGGAGCAGCCCGATGCGCCTCTTTTCACCTATGGTGTTGGCTACCGAATGTGCGCCGGCTCGCTTCTGGCTAATAGGGAGTTGTATCTTGTCTACATGAGACTGCTCAACAGCTTCAAGATTGAAAAGTACGACGATGTTGACCATCACCCCATTTCCGGAAACGCAGACCCCACTAGTTTGGTGGCAATGCCGCGGCCGTACAAGGCAAGATTTATCCCTAGAGATCTCGAGACTTTGAGCGAGGCTCTGAGGGAATCGGAAAAGGCGTAGGACCTGAGAGACAATTTGGAAAAAGAGATATTAAAGGGGAGTCTTTGTCTGGTAGTTAGATTAGCAACATGTGTGGTCGGACGAGAAGAGTCCATAGACTTGAAAACGTGAAAGCAAATGCGTTTATTAGAATTCGATAACTGTTTAAACTAGCCGAAAAGACGAAAGAATACCTAAGTGAAAGACGAAGTCCCAGAGCCCAAGAACTCGCCAAGCATGAACACCGAGAAATACCCGAGCCGATCCTTGAATCTTGGAGTGAGTGAGGCCCTAAATGATGTGATCTCCATGATAACCGGCGTTGACGGGGTCGTTGACTTTGCTGTTAATTCAGTATCTCTGACCGGTAGCCTCCTGTTGCAAGTAGAAATCAGGATTGGTAATGGCTGCGCTGTCGTGCCCCCCATCGCAATACCCACTGTGACCCCCGTCATGAGGGGGCGGGGACGCCTGCGGGGAATGTGCCGGCTCCCGGACCTTGAACCGGCTTTCGGTTGATACAAAACCCCCACTCTTCCCCAGGTTCTGCGTCCGCTCGTTCCTGCGAACTCTAAGTAACCTTAGCTCAGCTGTCCTCACTTCAGCCAGCGAGTCCAGACTTCATGTCTTTTCACGACTTATGACCCAATAAGCCATGGCTCCTGACAACGACGACTCGGATGCGCAATCGCCAGAAGCCACGTCCTCTGTGCGGAGGAGATCACCGCCGCCAGGATCCAACCCGCCAAGATCAAAGCGCGCCAAGTATGCGGCAGCCGCTTGGTATGTTACTCTTTTCTTGTACCCTGCTAAGATCCAACTCATAACCTGGTTTAGTTCCGAATGTAAGAAGCGAAAGCTCAAGTGCGTGAGAGAAGAAAACGAGGAGGAATGCCGAAGATGCATGACGAGCGGCGTGCAGTGCGTCTTCGGGGCGGCTCCCTCTCAGGATGGCAGCACTGCCCCGCGAGAAAGGCCTCGGGCTTCTCGGAGGTCTGCAAGAAGCAGGTGAGAATCTGAAATGCGGTCAATCACAGGGCTATTCTGACGTCTTTGCCAGCTTACCGAACGATGTAATCATGGATGAGATATCCATGCTGAGAGAGCAGGTGGCTAGTCTAGCCAACACCGTAGGCAGACTGGCCTCAGACAAATCCCGCCAAACATCCTCCAACTCCCCCAGCTCGCAACGCCACATGTCGATACATGACACTTCATCGCCGCAAGTACAAGAGCCGAAGCAGCCGCAATTCGTCGGCCCGACGAGATCCGCCTTTAGCTTGAAAGTCGCCGAGACATCACTCACGAGAATGGGTATTTCGGCGCAGACCCCGCTCCCATCCGGTGTATGCGAGTCGCTGGCACCCACCCGCTACCCGACGCCTGAACAGTCCGAGCCAGCACTTTCAGTTCCTGGAACAGATGTGCTTCTTACCATGCCTCTGGATGAGGTTGTGAGATTATTAGAAGTTTTCCAGGAAGAGGTAGAGACGGTGTACCCTTTTCTCGATACCGGAGAACTAGTCTCAAAGGCTGCGGAGATTAGGTCTTTCGTCGAAGACTCCCCAGATCGCCCGGCAACAGCTGGATCGCCGGCTGTGGATATCAAAGATGTCATTTTAGCGAAAGTCGCCATCGCCACGAGCATTGTGGTCGAAGCCCACGGCAAGAACCACGCCAGCAATAAGCTCGTAGAGCCACTGAAACATCTCGTGTATCAGCTATCGATCGACGCCCAGGCTGATCTGAAGGTCATCCAGATCATGACCATGATTGTAAGTCTGCAGCTCTGGGCTTACCATATCTGGAAACTGACTATGAGAACAGAGCATTTACTACTTCTTCTCTGACGAAGAGCTCCTTGCGTGGAGGAACATTGGTATCGCGGCTCGAGCGGCACTGGAAATGGGCCTGCATCAGAATCTAAGTCTTGTCGAGAACTTTCCAGACGAGCGAGAACGAGGTTTGGCAGTGCGGGTATTTTGGTGCGTTTATGTGCTGGATCGTCGGTGGAGTTTCGGGACGAGTCTGTCTTTTGCTCTCATCGATCGAGACATAGATCCGGACTTGCCTGAGCCAGTAAGTTGAAGGAATTCGAGCATGGTTGACTATGTTACTAACATACCTTAGCCTGACGAGTTCCCTTACCTTCGATGCTTAATTGGTTACGGCCGACTATGCTCGAAAGCCTGGGACGCTTTGCCGCCATTCAGCGCACCATCTCAAATCATCCCAAAGGATACGGTCGCATTCCTTGACTTCACTGCTCAGAATTGGTCAAACTCAATACCCGATGACCTGCAACTCCGCCATCCCCTACACCGGGGTACGGCTGGTACACAGCCACCCCGAGCATTGCGACGACTACAGGCTCTGCTGTACCTGCGAGGTAACCATATCCGCACGTTGATACACCGGCACCACGTGATAAGCTCCGCCAGCATCGAAGCCGATCCGCAAAAGGCTCGTCTTGTGGTCGATATTGCCATCGATAGTATATCCGTCCTAGTCCACTTGAGCGAGACGAGTGATATATATGTGCGCCAGCAGAGCGCATTCAACTACTTCCTCCTCAGCGCAGTTGCGGTTCTGTTTCTGGCAGTATGTCATGGCTCTCGAATATTTGCCGAGCCGTGCAGAGACAGCTTTCTCTCTGCTGCTGAATTAGTGAAAGGCTTTTCTCGCCAAGGAACTGCCAGCAGGAGGCTATGGAAGAGCATTCGCGGGCTGCTACCCCTTGCTCAACGGATCGGTTTGAGGGGCGACGACAGCAACGGCCGTAGAGAAGAGCTGGGGCGACAGTTCCTGGATTCATCCAGCCGATCTTTCGGGACGAGTAGCAGCCATCAAGTAGTGTCTGCAGACACTATAGATCCAGGGCTGGGCGGCATATCGTCTGGCCAGAGCGTTGGACCCGCGGATTTTGGAACGGCGGCTCCTGATGCGTTTTCGCTTGGTAACGACTTAATGTTCCTATTTGATGCGTTTGGGCAGACGGAAGATTCGTGGAATGGTGGGATGCAAGATTACCTGGGCAGCAACGACCAGCAGATGCCGATACTAGGCGAGGAAGAGATTTCCAGACACTTTTGGGGGCTGATTTGACCCGCAAAGGGTTTGCATGTCGTTGAACTAGGGCGGAATGGGGGGCACAGGCGGGGGAAGCTCGACGATGGGACGAACATGGATTCATCGGATAGACGGAAGCGGCGTCGTACGCCCAGGGTTCTTGGAAGATGGAGTGATCCAAAAAGGCAGGAACAGGGTCACAGTGCAGGCGTCTTTGGTCAATGGGGAAGCCCAGATGCTGCTCATGGGAGTCCTCTCAGCCTGGCCAAGGCCGCCTTGGCCAGAACCAGCATCTCATGCCAGTACAGTCTCAACAGGCCGATGCGATGCGTTGAGGACAGCTTTTACGCCTGTAGCGTCATGAGAGAAGCTTCCTGGAACGTCCTCAAAAAAGATGGACTACAGCTTCAAATCTTATCGTTTCAAGACGAAGAAGAATAAACGACCAGACGTGATTTCTTTGGGGTTGGTTGCGGCATCATCCATGAGAGACAGGCCGATGTATGTACCACGGTCAAGCCCAGTTGCAGGAACCCGAATGGGGCATGTTAGGACTGGTCAACAAAGCGGCTGTGCAAAGGTCTTGGCCTGCAGGTATTCAACTTCAATACGAAGATACTGGCCGACAAATCGATGACGGAAGAGTTGAAGATGGAGCCTGGGAACTTTCGCGGACGGTGATATTGGCCCAAGGCGATGGTTCTGGTCTCCTGCCTCATCAGGAATAGGGGAGTCTTGGGTGCTGAAGCGGGGGAGATAGGCGGTGCGGATAACTCATTACGAATAACGTGCATACCTGAAAACATGCTGATAGGGGCGATACTTCAGGCCGCTGTGGAGTAAAAGCCGAGCCTTTCCAGTGGGCAATCTCCACCGCGTTCCCCTGTCTCGGTCGCATGCATAGCGGTCAGTCACAGGAAATAAACTCTTTAAACTTTGAGATAGACTTCGGACGGAGTCGCTTATTTTTGACCACACGGGAGGCCTTTTGTTTCCCATAGTATTAAGTGTCGGACAATTGAATCAGTCTTGTTGGTGGGAGATGAGTGTCTCACCTCATGATGTTCGGATATTTACATCGTATCCAGGAGCGGGGTCACAAGAAGCTAACATCTTCTAGATGGATCAACACCCGCGGCTCTTAGAATGTAGACGTCTGTCTGCTCGTTGGACGCGTCTTCTACAAAGTCAAGAAAAGCAGCCAAGCCGTTTGCTTGGCAGCTGCCTATCAACACATCGCCAATCAGCCAATCGACATGCTTATCATCAATGCTTGGTCCAGGCACAGTTGCTTGGCGGTGGTGACCCGAGCATCGGCGAGCCGCATCGGTCCCCTCTTCGATGTTTCCTTCGGCACAACGGAGTTTTGGTTGAATTGATGGATATGTTATGCTGTTGTACGCGCTCCAGGACATAGACAAGGCTTCAAGAAGGCCTGTCACGTCTCTGATGGATGATTCTTGGATCATCAACTGGTTTTCACTGTGGGATGGCACGGATCCGTGGTCTCGAGCGCGTGTTTACCAACACCACGGCCGGTAAAAGACCTGCAGCCTTGAGCCCGAACACAGCATGATGCTAACGCAGGCAACCTTAGTACCAAGAGCCTCGCGTCGATCCAGACATTCTTCTATCAGACAAACAGCAGGAGATGAGAATTAACTCCGTCGACAACGCTGCAAAGATGCCTGGCCCGGGCGAATGTTCGGGCGGCTGACGCCTGCAGAAGTTGACTGCTACCATACCACAGCAGTGCTTGATGATGGAACTTTGGGAACAGTAGAAGGCGGCAAAAGGAGGCCATCCAGTGTCCCGGGGGAAGTGGATCCCTCGTCCCGCTTTTCTTACGCCGTGGCCACGAAAGCTTTCCCCGCCAAGGAGCACTTGATCCCGGGACCTTCCCCTTCGAGCCCCGCCAAGAGACTCCAAGAACCGTTCGCTGGAAGCTACAATCGAGCGCCCCAACGGCCGGAATTGCTTGCAAATTTATCGCTCACGCCCCGATGCTACACTGTTGCGCTCCAGCTATCGGTGATGCGGCCTGCCTGCCATGTCTTGGTCACATCCGAGCTTCCCTGAGTCGCAACCCACGAGGAGACCGTCTGGCTGCCCGCAGCGCCGAGAAATGCCCAGATCGATGGATCATATGGCTAGCAGGCATTCCGGCATGGGCTCTGCATGTCAGAATCCATTGACAGGAAGCAGTGACGGCCCAGAGCTGTGGGAGCTGTTGGAGCTTCGGCCGCTCAGCCTGCGGTGCAGAAGCTCTAGTATGTGAGAGTATAAGTTCAATGAAATCCCCGTTCTACTGGTTTGAATTCTCAAGGTACCACCACCTCCCCTCACTCACTTCAATTACCAGCCCCAGGCCCATCTGCTCATCAAAACAAACAAGATTGTCAATCTTTGTTTGAATTGAACGTCAGGCACAATGGTTCGCGCTTCCTCTTACCTCGGCTCTCTGGCCGTCCTCGCTGCTTCGGCGGTGGGCAAGGAAATTGAGCCCAACGCGGATCTCGCTGCTGAGCTCTACGACTCTGGCATCATCCACGAGCAGATCATCGCCAGCAAGAAGGTAACAAGCCCTGAACAATTAATCATCAATATGAATCATACTGACATCTTTGACAGGCCGAGTTTGCTCGCCAGAGAGAGGCCGGTGCCTACGCCAGCGAGCAATACCCCGAGCTTGGTTACGCTCCTTGCGTCAACGGATGGGCCGAGGCCATCGTCGGTGACCGCAACAACACTTTCCGCTGCCACAACGCCGACCTCCACTCCTTCCTGAGCCACGCCGCCCTCGGTGACGAGCTCGGTGAGGGTTCCTCATCATGGGGTTGGACCTCCGACGACGGCCGCGAATTCGTGGCCATCGGTCAGTACCAGGGAACCGCCTTCGCGGAAATCAACTCCGACGGCAAGCTCATCTACCTGGGTCGCCTGCCGCAGTACTCTGTGCCCTCTGAGTGGCGCGAGATCCGCTCCTACAAGCACTACATGGTCATCGGCTCCGAGGCCGTCGGCCACGGCATCCAGATCTTCGACATGAAGAAGCTGCTGGACATTGACCCAGCCAGCCCTGTTACTTTCGACGCCAAGGCCGACTTGACCAGTCACTTCAACGCTCTGCTGCCCTTGGGCCGCGCCCACAACGTTGTCGTCAACGAGGAGCTCAGCTACGGTGTCGCCGTCGGCGCCCAGCCCCGCAACGACACCATCTGCGCCTCCGGTCTGAACTTCTTCGACCTCACCAACCCTGCCGACCCCATCTCCCTGGGCTGCGCGAGCGGTGACGGCTATGTCCACGACGCCCAGTGCCTCGTGTACCGTGGCCCCGACAAGCGCTTCGAGGGCCGGGACATCTGCTACGGCTACAACGAGGACACCCTCACCATTTACGACGTCACGGACAAGGCCAACGTCACCAACATCATCTCCCGCATCTCGTACGAGGGCGCATCCTACACCCACCAGGGCTGGGTTCTCGACGTGAACAACCAAGAGTTCCTCGTTCTCGACGACGAGCTCGACGAGGTCCGCGGCAACGGGCCCGGCGGCGACGGCTACCCCGTTAGCTTCTTCTGGGACATCCGCGACCTGACGGCGCCCAAGCAGACCGGCTTCTTCAAGTCCCCCACCAAAGCCATCGACCACAACCAGTACGTCATCGATAACTACATCTACCAGTCCCACTACGGCGCCGGCCTGCGCGTTCTCGACGCGAGCTCCATCCCCTCCGACCCCACCGGTGCCGGTGTCTGCGAGGCCGCCTGGTTCGACATCTACCCCGAGGATGATGACATGGAGGGCGGCGGCTACGTCGGCTTCGTCGGCACCTGGTCTTCGTACGCGTACTTCCCTTCCGGCTACATCTTCATCAACACTATCGAGCGTGGTGCCTTCGTCGTCAAGTTGACCGGCAAGGACTGCCCCAAGGCTCCCGTATGCAACGCCGACAACTGCCTGCGATCGTTCCGCGCCGAGTCCGTCCCCGGCCGTCTGCAGGAGTCCCAGGAGTTCTGCAAGTCCTTCCTGAGCGCTCCGGTCAAGGACGTCAGCGTTCTGCCTGAGCACGCGGTGAAAAACTGTGCCAAGGAGGACAAGGTCGCTCAGGCTAGCAGCGCCTGTGCTTGCTTGCCCGCTGCCACTCCTGCTCCTTAAATGATAGCGCTTGAAGAAGAGTGGAGGACAAAAGGATCCTAGCGACCTATATTCTGTGTAAATAGTCCCAATGACCTGTAATGAATAATTTGATTACGTCTTTGAACTTCAATGCTTTCCGATACACCAGTCAACATGTCTTTCCGACGTTACAAATGCCCGGAAACTGTAGCGCTAAAATGCTGGCGCAGGCCACCTCCAAGTTGCGATATTCTTATGTCTACGAAGCCTCTACAGTGGAATCGTAAGTCTCAGCCCGCACGAGTACTGTTCGAAGCCTTCACCACTAGAGCCAAGTCAACTCTTTGCTTTCACGAAGCTAGCGTAAGCGAGGCCCCCATGTCCAGCATCCCCCCATCGTCCTGAGCCGCAGGCAAACTGCAGAAGATGTGTGCGGGGTTGGCGTTGTTTGCCCAATCCAACGTCAATCTTTCCTCCAACAACGGCTTATGGTGCAGAAGGACAAGGGTATCACAACGCCATGCAGCCGCCGTCCGCTGGACGTAGACGCTACCAAGACTGCCGGTCGCTGAAAGCTGTTGAGATAACAGAGACATGGCCTGATGGTTGGTGCTTCGATGCTGGAGCTTTCATGTCGGGAGCTCATCCGATTGATAAAGATGGTTCTCATCGTCCAGAGACTCACAAAGCCTTTTGCAGCTCATGCGCTAACTTGATTAAAGAAGCTCACATCCCACGGTGAGCGAGAAGCCTCTTCAGAAATGAACCTCAATCCCGACCAGCTTTCCTAATTCTTTGCCCTTTACCTGACTTACATCGCTAGCTCTATCAATTTTGCAACACATTCCACGTTGGAGAGAAGAAGATGGGCCATTCGAGCTCGGATGTGGGAAGACGCAACCCGTCATCCAGCAACAACCCGGACGCCTCCGTTTCCGACTCACCACAAACGAAAGGTCGCGACGTTGAGCACGGAACCAGCCAGCTACACCATGGAATCGACACCCGCGCCATCCACGTCGGATCCGACCACGTATACGAAAAGAAAGTCTCCATCATGAATCAAGCCCTCATCGAAATCGGCATGGGCCCGTTCCAGTGGAAAGTGTTCGCAATGACTGGCTTCGGCTGGTTCGTCGACAACGTAAGGGCCTACCCGCCAACATTTGAGAAACCTCTACTGAAAACTTCGTAGTTCTGGATGCAGGCCATCACAATAATCAGCGCCCCGGTGCGCAACGAGTTCGCCGTCAAACGCATCGCCTTCCTCACGGTAGCTAAGTACGTCGGGTTGGTCATCGGCTCGACCGCCTGGCCCATGACCGCGGACTACATTGGCCGCAAGCTCGCCTTCAACGTCACCCTCCTCATCTCCGCCGTCTCGGGTCTGGTCGGCGCAGGCGCACCGAACTTTATTGCAATCGCTACCTTTTGCGCATTCATCGGCTTGGGCACCGGCGGTAACCAGCCTGTCGACAGCGCCATCTTCCTCGAGTTCATCCCCGCTACGCACCAGTACCTCTTGACCATGCAGTCGGCATTCTGGTCCTTCGGCCAGGCTATTGCGGCCCTGATTGCCTGGCCTCTCATCGCCAACTTCTCCTGTCCTTCTGGTCTGCCGGCAGGGGAGTGTCGGTACGAGGATAACCTCGGATGGCGATACACATACTGGGCCTTTGGCAGTCTGACCCTCATCATGTTCCTGCTCCGATTGCTCTTCAGAGTTTACGAGACGCCAAAGTACCTTCTCGGAAGAGGCTTGGATCGGGAGGCTGTCGAGGTTGTCCAGAAGATCGCCGCGAGAAATGGCGGCTCGACGTGGCTTACTCTCGAGCATTTCGAAGCTGTCGATGCCGAGTTGGGCGTCACTCGTGAGGCGACTGTTATAAGGGCGCCGCAGGTGGACACTAGCAACGTCCTGCGCCGGCAGCTCGAGAACTTTAAGCCAGAGAAGATTCTCACGCTATTCTCCACCCCACGGTTTGCGCTCTCGACGACGCTGGTGCTGTTTCTCTGGTGCTCAATCGGCATGGCTTTCCCTCTGTACAACTCCTTCATCCCCATATTCCTCGAGAACAAAGGCGCCAGCCAGGGAGACTCGTCGCTATCGACGACGTACCGAAACTATGCCATCCAGGCAGTCTGTGGAATTCCAGCGTCCATCCTTGGTGGGTTTACCGTCGACATGAAGCGCATCGGCCGAAAAGGCACAGGAACCCTCGCCTGCATTGGTACTGGCGTCTTCTTGTTTCTCTTCACCAGAGCGACAACGCCCGCCGGCGTCACGGGGTTCACCTGCGCCATCGCATTCTTCCAGAACCTAGTCTATGGGTTGCTGTACTCATATACCCCCGAGCTCTTTCCGGCGCCTGTTCGAGGCTCGGCGAATGGTCTGGTAGCTTTGTTCAATCGCATGAGTGGGCTTATGGCGCCCATTATCGCAGCCTATGTCGGGATCGATACTGATTTACCGGTGTGGATTTCTGCGGCGTTGTTCGTTGTGGCAGGGTTTGTGTTTCTTCTGCTGCCCTATGAGACTCGAGGAAGGGCGGCTGCATGATGGCGACGGGTTGACAGCATATGGGAAACCAATAGAAGACTCTCACACCGACTCACTATTTTTACTCTCATGGTGTTCTTGGGACTCTTTGTCGGTAAACCGACTTGTCATTCACATTTTCAACTATGACAGCTTTTTGCCTTGAAAAGGAATAAACTCAAACAATACTCCAACGCCCCAAAGTGAGCAATCCAAAACCATTCAAGCAGGCTAACCCGAACGAAATGCCAGAACTCCAAGACGATTACTGAGGTATGCGCTTTAACATGGAGGACTGATTTCAACTATCCAAACCTCTCATCCTATCCATTATAAAAATGAGAGATAACAATATTAAGATCCGAAAACTCTCTATGAAAACAGCGCGGTATTCAAGCATTGGACGATGGAGCTGCCACTCGTGAGCCCCGACGTGAGACAAGTCGCAGCACCACCCACGGCCAATGGTCCCAGCGCTGCAACACAGGCCGACGTATCCACCACGCCGTTCAGCGCGCTGAGATCTAAGCAGACCTGCGGCAAAGCCGTTATGCAGTTCGACGCCAGCGCAGTTTGGAGACAGCCGACGATGGATTGCCCGGTGGTGAGGATGTTGATGGCACCAGTGACGAGACAGTTTGCGACGTTGCCGACGGCGAAGAGTCCAAGTGCCTGGGTGCATGCCGGAATGTCCGCGAGAAGGTCTAAGCCATTCACGGTGGAGAGACTCAAACAGGTGCCAGGGACAGTGGGACAGACTGGTGTTGGTGGTGCAGGGGCCGTAGTGGGACATAAAGCTGGGTCGGTGATGGTCGTGGTGGTGACGGTTGGAGTGGTGCTGAAGGCGCCTTGGAGACATCCGAAGATGGACAATCCTGTGGTGGCGCTGGTGATGGAGTTCAGAGCAAGACAGACGGCAGCTGCACCAGAGTTGTAAGGGCCAAGAGCAGCGACACAGGTGGGAATATCGACCAACAAGTCGATGCCATTGGAGACTTGAAGATCGACACAGGGCTGAGGAATGGTTTGCGGGCAGGATGCTCCGAGTGTCCGGAGAAGGCAGTCTGCGATCGGCTGGCCCTGAGGGTTGAGACCGAGGTTTGCTGTGAGACAGAGCGCGACGGGCCCGACGGCGAAAGGCCCAAGATCTAGCAAGCAATCCGCCGTGACCAGGGTCAATGGGATGAGACCGTTGGTGGTTGGCAGTTGAGCGCAAGCTCCAGGAAGGGTGACGCCGCATGTTGGTGTGCTTGTCGCCGTTGCAGTGACCACACAGCCAGTGAAGGATGTAGTTGGGACGATGCGTGTGGTCGAGATAGGTGGGACGGGCGTCAGGGATGTGATGGAGCTAGATGAACTAGACGAGCTAGACGAGCTTGATGAGCTTGATGAGCTGATTGACGATGAGGATGTCAGGCTAGTTGAAGTGCTAGAAGAGGATGTTGTTGAGGTTGTAGATGAGACTGTAGAGGCTGGGGTGGATGTTGGAGTGGATGAGGATGAGGAAGTAGAGGAAGATGAGGAGGTAGATGAAGTAGAAGACGTAGATGCTTGGGATGTGGTAGAGCCAGCCACTTGAGAGGTCGTCGATGACGAGGAAGAAGAGCTAGAGCTTGGTGTTCCAGTAGTTGTAGAGCTCACGGCGGATGAGGTAGAGGAGCTCGAGACTGAAGATGCCGAGGTGCTAGCTGTTGATGACGCAGAAGAGCTAGATGCTGGTGCGACAGACGAACTTCCAGACGAAGAGGCCGACGAGCTGAGACTAGAGGACACAGTCGACGACGCCCCTGAAGAAGTTGAGGAAGAGCTGATTGGTGACGCAGAGGAACGGGTAGATGGCGTAGAAGCACTTGAGGTAGACAGCCCGGAAGAGCTTGAGGGTGTCGGCTGGGGGGATGAGCTAGTAGATGCAGATGAGGTTGGACCCTGGGGTCCGGGAGATGTACTGCTGGATACTGTTCCTGGTGGAGTTGGAGATGAGCTGCTAGGGTTGGTTGATGTTGACGAGGTCGACTGGATGTTCCCAGAAGACGTGCTGACAGGTGGCAATATGGAGCTTGTTGATAGACTGGTGACTCCAGTGGACGAACTCGATGCCGATGGTCCCGAGGATGTACCAGCGCCTGATGTGGAAGAGCTAGTCGTCGACAACGTAGGAGAACGAGCTGTGACACTTCCAGTGCCACTTGATAGCGAGCTAGCTGTGGATCCCGACTGACTGGTGCTTCCACCAGTGCTAGAGCTAGAAGGTGTAATTGACGAGACGGGCGTGACAGACCCGCTTGTCCGGCTTGTGGGTGTGGCGGAGGAGGTTGCAGAAGGCGGAGGACCGGCAGAACTCGAAGTTGCAACAGATGGACTGCTTGATACGGCGCTATTTGTAGATGACGACCGGGTAGATACTAGAGTGGCTGTGCTACTGATGCTAGACTGCGAGGTTGTTGAGGTCAAGCCTGGAGGGACCGGAATGCCACTGGTTGAGACGGAGCTTCTAGATGTGGACGAAGTCTGAAGTCCGGTAGTACTCGAGGTTGCAGTAGTTGACTGGGTACTTGATGTGGATTGCAAAACGTCTGGAACTATACTCCCAGTGGGGGACGTCGAAGGTGAAGATGTAGACGGCGTTGCAAGGGTGTTCGAGATGTTCGTACTAGAACCTGGAGTTCTGGCCGCGCTCGTACTTTGTGTGACTGTGACTCTAATGATTGTCGTGGATGGAGAGGTACCCGAGTTGCTGCTGGCGGAAGTAAGTGAGTCGGGAAGAACTACGTCCGAAGTTGTTGAAGTAGTACGAGAGTTCGGATCCACTGAAGTAGGAGCAACAGGCTGACTGGATGGCCCCCCTTGCGAGGAAGTTGCAACTCTAGGACTTGAGACGGCAGTAGCGGCAGTATTGGTTCCCTGCGAGGGTCCAGCTGAAGAGGATGTAGCCGGGGTTATAGGAGACGTGGGCGACAACACGCTGGCGTCTTGTGGAACTTCGGAAGACCCGCCAGCTGGAGGAGCGCTTTGGGAGGGTACCAAGCTGCTAGGCAGTGGCTGCCCTGTCGAAGTGACGGGCCCAGGAGCAGGGGAAACAGTGTTTCCGGGGCCATTAGACGGAACCACGGAACCAGTTGTGGCTGATAATGCTTGCCCGCCGTTGTTGCTGGAGAAAAGAGCCGGGTCTACCGGGATTGAAGCTGCGGTGGTGGGCACTTGAACGCTACTTGGAACAAGTATCACCGTCGAACCTGGTTGGCCTGAGGGTCCAGGAGGGAATGTGATCGTAGAGGTGACGGAACCGTCGAACGTGCTTGTAAAGATGTTGTTTCCTCCCGGAACTACAGGTGAGACTATCGCAGGCAACACTGGGTCAGCTGGTGCCGAGCTTGGATCTAGGACGCCAAAGTCTGGTGGTCCCGTAGGTCCTGCTGGAATCACGGCTGGGGTAGCCGGCAAGTTTCCGGCGGGAGCTACGCCAGGATCTGTGTTTGCTGGATTGATAACAATCGCAGTAGCTGTGCCATCCGCCAGTGCTGGAAGGATGGTTACGGTGGTGAAGATTGTACCAGTAACGGTTGCCGCAACTCTGACAACAGGTCCGTTGAACGGCCTGAGCTGCGGAGTTGGAGTCAGAACGACTCTAGTTCCAGTGCCATCACCTCCACTTGGTGGAAGATCAATAGTTGTTGGCGCAAGGCCTGTGAAGGGGGCAGTAACAGTTGTGAACGGGCCAAAAAAGGCATCGAGAGGACCATCGTCGTTCCCGTCGTCGCTGCCACCATCGCTTCCATCGCTGGAAGGTGATGGAGTTAAGGCCGGATCGAGAATTAACAGAGTTCCAGTCGTATCTGTTCCAGCAGGTGGGATTGTGAAGGTGGTTGTTAGTGTCCCAGGCCCGGTTGCGGTTGTTGGAACATATACCGCGGGGAAAATGTCCGGATCATCGTCCCCAACAGTAGTTGGCACCACAATGATTTCCGTTCCGACAGTATCGCTACCCGCTGGGGGCAAAAGGACGGTTGATGTGATTGGTGCAGTACCGATGGCTGTCAAAGTAGTGAACAACCCAGCCGGGGCCGCTCCCGTAGGTGCAGCCCCATCGGCGGGTGTCAAGACGAGCTGCAAGGCGATGGAGTCTGTACCAACAGGTGGTATCGTCAATGTCGTGGTCATTGTGCCGGTCCATGGGCTTGTAGCAGCTGTTATTGGACCTGGGAACGGCGCTGAGGCCGGTGTCAAGATGATCTGCCTTTCGATGTCGTCTGTGCCTTGAGCAGGAAGCGCTAAAGTCGACGTGACTGTGCCGGTCCAAGGTGCAGTCATGGTCTCGACCCGTTCGGGAAATGCGTTCTCAGGAATGAATCCAGGCGCTGACTGGGCTGGATTGAAGGATGACGAAATGGCGTTCTGAGGATCAAATGGGCCTTGCTGGCCTGCGGGAAACGGCTCCAAAATAATCTCCGTGCCAACTTCAGAACTTGCTTGTGGTCCCAAAACAATAGTTGAGAGAGCAGTGCCTTGAGGCACTCCCCTCGTGATTGTTGAGACCGGGCCATTGAAAGTGGCGCTTGGGCTTCTGTGCATGAGTTAGTACAAGAATTGGTCCCTTACAGAGGAAAGGATCCATGTCGATGTTACTTACAGAGTTGAGGTATATGTGATGGTGTTCTCGACAATAAAGTCGGAGAGCAAAACTGTGGGAGCATTTGTCACTGGCACGGTGGTGCCAGCAACGGTAATCGTGGTATTTGAGCAGATGGCGGCGCTCAGACGCACAGGAGTCTGGTCGACCACCAATACATACTGCTTGATAACACCTTGATCATCAGGAAGGATGCACTGCGAGTTTGCTAATCTGAACCATAGCAGCATGCAAAGGGTGACAAGGGCACCACGCAGAAGGAGATCTTGCATTTTTGCGATCTGTGCCGGACAGTTAGTGAGGAATTATTGAACGAGAGTTTGGGCAATAAAACCACAACAGTGAACGAGAAAGACTTCAACGGATGAGCATCGAAGGACTCTCGTGATATCCCACGTCCTGCGAAGGCTCTTGTAGGTCGGCCTTACACCCTGCTCAATGTATTGTTGGAGGTGTCACATGACCCTCAATATGCTGAAGAGTCTAGACTGTTTTAACCGAGCTGAGTCTCGACCCGGTCGTGTTGGAATGCATCCGGGGGATAATGTTAACCATCAACGGCCCGCGGCTTGAAAATGACGATCTCCGAAACTTCGCCGCAAGCGTAACGTCGATCAATGTCTCAGGATTTCGTCGCTAAGCACGTACTAAGCCCAATTTACCAAAAGGCTCAGTGTGAGGCTCATCTGAATCACAGCTGAAATCAACTTCAGGTGACGGCTTCGGTAATTTCTGTTTGTCCCTGCCAAACTAGGTGCGGTTAGAGGGTAATATTCTTATTTGGCCCGAATTATTTCACGGAGCTTTGTACTAGCCTCATTACATTGCAACAAAATCCATCGCGAACTCCCTCCTGGGGCTTTACTCGGAAGATGACAATTTCACCGATTATTATGCAGCTCACCGAGCATAGTAGACTGAATCGGTCGACAGTCTGTCATCGCAATCGTTCAAGAGCGACAGTGAGTTTGCGACATACTCACGGTCATTGTAAGATCTCATGATGTCATATAATTGCCGAATCTAGAACACTTCACCTTGGCGATGGCGCCGCAAACCTGGTCCTCGGGACCTCTCCTTTTCTCCCCCGATGCTTAGCGATCCTACCAGGTGACCAAAGTTGGCAACCCGGGAGGCAGAGATATCTCGTCGGCCCGAGACAGGCGTACCTGCCGTCGGCCAATGAGATATTGCGCTATCGTTAGGCTGACTGGGGCTATTCCCAACACAGATGGTGCAAGTCGGTAAGTCTTTCCCAAAGCCCTCCGGTTGCACTGGTAGTATGGATATAAGGTTTAGCCTCACTATTGCCCACTGACAACTTGGTAGACGTTGGAGCAGTTGAGGAGAAGCCGCTGAAATACCTTAGGTCTCGGGCACTAAAGGAATTGGTCTCCAGTGGCTTGAAAAGTCCGTTTTCGCTGGGCCGCCAGCAAAGCCACTTTCAGCTAAAGGCTGTTGCAGCTTGGTTGAAAGTAATGACGTTTGATTATCACGACTCCCAAAACCCGGGAAGATCGCTCCCTCTATTCCCCTAGAAAGTAAGAAGCCGAGGCCGGATGCAGACATCCACCCAAAGAGCTCCTCGAGGTCTCCCGGCCAGCATAATGAGCTGCATGATTGTCAGTAGCCGGCGTATAATAAGATGCTTATTCTGTAAATGTTGAGACTTGCCTTTTCAAACAGCTCCCGTCATCACTCCAATATTGATTATTTCCACAGCAGTCGACATCATGCTCTCCATGTGTCCGTCACGCACGACATTTCTTCCTTTGCTGTTCGGCCTGGCTCTCGCGGCACCACGTATCAGCCCGCGGGAAGATGGCTGTGCAGCCGGAGTAACGGGCCTTCCATCTGTTACCTATACAATGATGGCTCCCGTGCAGACCATTATAATCAACATGACCCAAGAAGACGGCTGTCCATGGGTCAAGGCAGAGCTGGCTCCCACTATGGCGCTTCCGACAGCATCACCCATCGCTTCAAATCCCGGACCAGACCCTGTACCAAACCCTGGGCAAAATCCTGGGCAAAACGTACCTGCCAATGTTCCGAACCAGGGAGCAACGCCTAGCATTTTGCCCGATGGCGCGGTTCCCAATCCTTCTGCCACCGTAAATTTGGGTGGAAGTGTGCCAGCTGCATCGCTCAATGGCGGCGGGCCTCCTCAACCTCCTGCTGGGCCCGGCGCAACGGGTCCGATCGACGGTGGTGGCTTCTCCCAAAACGTCCCAACTGGAAACGGCCAAAATCCAGATTCTACGACCCAGACTCAAGGAGGATCCCCAACCACAGTGGTTGGCAGTCCAACAGAAAGCCCCCCGCCTCGCTTCGTGATCTACGCTGGCTCGACGCATAGAGCCTTTGAGCTACCCCATCTTGCTCACAGCCCACTAAGCATTGGCGTTCTGGCCCTTTGGGGCATCATGATGTTGGATATGTGGTGATTGTTGTTGGGTGGAATGAGCGTTCAATGTGCTTTCGTAGCGAAGAGCAAGCTTCATACTCATAATTTTGTGAATTTGGTGGATACTTTGACTTCATTGGGCGGAGTACTGGGCGTGCAATGTAGTATCTTTCCTTTCTTTCCTACTGGGTTGACCCTTCTTGTATGAATGCTATCATCTCTGTTGTTGTTGATGTCGTCGCCGTTGCTGTGGTCTGTACTTACTTAACTCTTGCATGATTGCCATATAATGAGTATTCATGGCTTTGTAGTTGACTGGGCTAAGAGCCTTGGGACGACGCTCACCGGGTTCCAGAAATGGTGACACAGCGACTAGCATAAATCGCAAGATTCTCCAGAGACCTCTCGATCACTCATGTGAATGATATCCAATAATGAAGATCATGGTCGATCGCCGTTAGCCATGAGTCCTCACTGCGTGTAAGCCATACCAGCACGCAGACCCAAGGCCACGGTAGGCTAGCATTCGATAAGGTGAACAACGTACCTCAATCGTTTTCATCATGCATGGGAAAGTTTCTCTCATCTTCATAGATAGCCACATTCTTTAATACGCTTAGACCGTGACAGATCAGCAGCATAGATAAGATGCAAGTGATCGGTCGGGTACATTGCTCGATCAAGCGACGATATGCTTCGCTCTACTGCTTCAGATCCATCGCAAGCCACTTTATTCAAGAGGGTTGTTTTCTCGATAGCTGGTGTCCAAGACTGTCACAAAAGTGATGTCTTGTTGTTCTCACTGCGACGCGTCATGATTGATGTGTAAGTACTCCACGACTATTAACCGAAGCGGAGACCAGGCCCAAGTTGTCTCGGGATTCCAGCGGCCACTGAAGGCTAAGGAGTATCCGGCAGTTGAAGATTTCTAAATGGCATTTGGCATGGAGATGATTGACTGACTTCTGAACTTCCGGTCATGGGGATAACGGTAGATCTGGGTACGTGGCTTGGTGTCTAGACGCATCCGGGGCTGATGTCGATTCACCTCCCCTCCCTTTCAGACCAATCACTTAGGCCCTATGGAGATAAACTAGAAGCAAAAGAAAGAGGTGGGTGAATAACTGTCCAATGAAAGACGATAGCACAGCTTCGTTGTATCGATGCCTAACACTTCCAGACTATCTACTTGTTAGCCTCACCTGAATTCATGTTCGCTCGGCTCCGAACGAAACCGTTCCTAAAGCATGCTCCTGGATGAGGTTTGGTGATCTAAAAGAAAATGGAAGCTATTTCTTTGCAACTTGCAACAGCCAATCCTAATGATTAAATACCGATAACCAATGAGCTCTAAAGAGTTACACGTACACAGTCACAAATCCATCTGCTTCAGCTGCAGGAAGTGGCTGGAAGCTTTTGTCTCCATTGAATTGATACTTGAACAGGCTCCGTCAACTCCTTTAATTGGTGTTCTTTACTGTTCTCCATGCTCCCATTATGCACACATGTCATAGGTCTTATTGTCACGAAAGGGACAAATAAACTTCAAGGTTTTGAATGTACATGTGTGCGATTTCCCCGGCTTGGAGCCAGTGCAAACCAAGATCTGCCATTTTGAGGTTTTGTCTCAGCCACCACAAGAGTTCAGATAGTGCCAAGACTTCGTAAATACATCACCTCTAACTCAAAACGTATCCCGCTATTTAGCGAGACCCGGCCCTAGCTTCGATCAAACCGTTACTTGGTCGGCTCCCATTGAGAGGGGATTCTGCATCGCTCGAATGCTGACCGTTCCCATGCCCCATCCGGACCGGCATCGCATGCTAAGATCCGGGCTAACGGTTGCGAATTGTTTTTCACCTTGTATGTGTGGAGGGACGGTTGATTGGGTCTTATGCTAGACCGGAGCACGAATTTTGACGCTAGTTACGATGTCGCTATCCACGCATAAGGATATGTTGCCTAGTCCCACGCACATCTCATTGAAATGCCCCGATACTTGAAGTCACGATTCGAGGAATGAACTTCGCAATTGACAACATACAACCGTCCCGTAGGCATCCGTCCTCATCAGAATGTGTCCATTGAGAAGTTCTGATAGGCTTGTTCTGTCTAATGCATGTTGAGCCTCAGAAAGCTCACCATGTCATCCACACCCTGTGGCTCGTTGACCCAGTGACCCCCTGAATCATACTCATGCCATTCAACTGTCTTGCAAAATGACCCAAGAGTCCTCCGCAACTGACGACCGAGCCTGATATCAATAATCTCATCATCCACGGCGTGAGCGAGGAAAATAGGGGGGTTAATCGATGGTTGTGCAACGCTTTTCTGGTGATATGGCGAACGTTTCTCCGCCAATTCTTCGATGACAACTGCCGGTGGCATCCAGCTGCACCAGCCAATCAGCCCACCCAAACTGCCTAACTTTGACGTAGACAGCAAAGCGGCAACTGAAGTTACAAATCCTTGGCTGATACCGCATAAGAATATCTTTTCCAGGGAGACCAAGTTGGATTCGCTCTCGATTAAGTTGACTAGGAATTCGATACTTCGTCTCAGGCCGGCTTTCTGGATATCGGCCTGCTCTTCTGGATTTTCCAGTGACCAGACATCAAACCACTGTGACATGTTGGTGCCGAACCTCTCAGATGGAATCACAGCGGCCCCGGGGAAGACCCATCGAACAGATGGTAACAGGTCTGGGAGGGTTCTTGGCTGGTTTGCCGGTTCTGACGCTTCGCTCTCGAAAAGCTCATCTGCGAACTCGTTGCAGATGCTGTCTCTGCCGTGGAGAAAGACGACCGTGTGGGTGTGCGCCGCCCGAGGCTCGATGCAGTGTTTGGTGAAATGCATGTTTGTGGT